GGCCGACCATGTAACATTACCTCAAATCCAGGTACTCATATGCTTATTGAGCCTGGACTACACTGCCTTGTTTATATACTCAGTTCCACTGCTGGCCTCCAAAGAAAACCAAGAACCCTATCTCTCATGAACTTTGCCATTTTACTAAAGCTTTTTGGGGTTAGATAGAAGTGTTGGGCACTTCTCTCTACTCTCCTTCATCCAGCCTCTCCCCAACCCCAGGACTGCCTCTCCTTTTTCCCCCGGAGCACTGCCCGCCCACAATTCCATTTCTAACATCTCAACCCATTTTTACTCAGAGCATTTATGTATATCTAAACCCAGATATTCAGTATCTGGCAAGCCACCCCCAGCACTCACCCTCCTAAAAGACTCACACAGCATAGCTTTTCCATCATAACCGTACAAGCTTCCTCCTGAGAGGTCTGTGCTGCACTCACTGAACCAGACCCACCAGTGATGGGGGGGGGGGGGAGTCAGAGGTTAGAGACAGAGGCCCAGAAAGGGTCAGAGATCCCAAGTGGCCAATGAGACCCTGAACAAGTCACTTCACATTTCTGAACCTCGTCTATAAAATGAAAACTAACCACAGATCTGAGATGACTTTGTTTCACATTGTAGGTTTCACATAACTAGCAAAACCAAAAAATTATAATCAAAGTACAGCTAACTCTCATCCTAACACTCCTTTCAGTTTTAGATTTAAAGACTTCTGATTGCTTGGTTGCCACCCTATTTCTTACATTCCCATCTTGCAAAAATTATTCACAAACTGATGACAGCTTTCCTTCCTCTCTTGGCTTTGGTCCAGTCTCTCAAAGAGCATGATCTTTGTTTTTTTTTTTTTAAGATTTTATTTATTTATTCATGAGAGACACACACACAGAGAGAGAGAGGCAGAGACACAGGCAGAGGGAGAAGCAGGCTCCATGCAGGAAGCCTGACGTGGGACTCAATCCCGGGTTTCCAGGATCACACCCTGGGCTGAAGGCGGCGCTAAACCGCTGAGCCACCTGGGCTGCCTGAGCATGATCTTTTATAAATGTGTATGAATGGAGCAGAAAGGTCTTCCTCAAAGAGTATTATGGGGAAAACTATGAATACCCTTTTTTTTGTGGAGAGGTGGCTTGCTTCTGTATTTCTCATATCTTTTTCAATGAGCAAACAAAAAAGCCACAGACACTCTGTGGTCAGAGATTAAGCATCACAGTAGGACTCTGTTTTCATCTCTAGTTCTTCCAACATCCCCACCAAAATCCTAAAATGATTCCCAGAACTGGCACAAAGAGGGGAAAACTGTATTTGAATATCAGATTCTGCCTCCTTTTGACTTAACTTTACCTAATTCCCTATTAGGTAAAACCTAGATAGTTAAATCAATAAATAATCTAGCAAAACTGTGTCCTGGTACACAGACAGGAATGTCAAGTCCTGCACATGCTGTCCTGGCTCGGTTGGCTTGCTTTTGCCAATGCTGATTCTCTGGAAAAAGATTATCTATTCCCAAAGCCATTAAAGCATCTACCCAGGATAAATAGTTCCTGCCTATGAAAAACAGTCCTCCATTGTCAGACATTCCCTCTTAATTGATCTTAATAAGCCATTGTAAATGAAGGGGAAGAAAAAAGCAGAGCACTAACACGTAGTAATTATCTGTAATTCTCCATTTGTAATGTCACTGAATAGAGAAAATAATGCAAATGTGGACAGATGCTGACTGCAGCTTACACTGCCATCAAAATTAGGGTTATTTTGTACAGTAAGTAACATGACTAAGCTGCAGTAGCTCAAAGGCAGGTCTTCATCCCCAAGACAATATCCAATACCACGGATTGCTGGGAGCAGTTACCAGATGCAGTTTCCATAAGGCATGACCCAGGAGGATAGGCCCCAGTTTGGCATCGTGGCCTAGAAGTTGATCAGTGTGGCAGAGACTCATTTTTTTTTTTTTTTGCCAATTTAAAAGAACTATAATCCTAGCATTTTAGAGGTTATTTAAAAACAAATGTTCTTATTAGACAGATAATAGAAGACCCAGAGGAGGTTTTACAGCTGTGAGTAAAGCCCACAGGCCTCAAGCTGGTGGAAGACAAAGTGAGTTTTGGATGGTAGGGGGTAGGGTCATGGAAAAGTTAGGTAGAAGCTAGACGGAGCAGTGAAAGGAGCAAAGGGAGGCTGAGTTCTAAGTCCTTGAGGGGAGAATGATAGAGACAGGCCCCGGAGGCAAGGACAGTGATAAATATGTGACGCATTAAAAGCCTGGGGGCACAACATTCTGACCTGGTGGTTCTAAGACCCTGAGACTAACAGACCAGGAGCTTCTGGTGCAGAGCAAGCCTCCCCTCTTTCACCTCTGCCCCAGGGTAACCTTAGATGTATTATAATGCATTTGCATTGCAGGTACTGCCCTGCCCTGTGGACAAAAGCCACCTTGACGGTTCCAGTCACAAACTCCCTGTGGGAGGAGTCTTCCCAAAGACTGGACGCAGCCTCCACTAAAGACCACCCACCACACTGCACATACTCAAACCAGAAAGATTCAATAATACCCAATCCCAAAACAACCTAGGGGTGGGTTCCACCTTCCAGAACCTGCCCACTCTCCTACCTTGAGAGTGTACTTTCACCTTAATAAACTGCTTGGTGCTTGCTACTTTCTTCTGGCTGTCTTTATTCTGAGCACAGATCCCCGTGTGTATCTTTGCACGGGGAATCCAAAAACGAAGACCTCCCCATTCACACAGGGCAGACTCTCTCACCAGTAACAGAAAGCCCGCTACTCTTCATTTTTCTGATACTCTCATCTTCTATCTTGACCAGTAACCAACATTACTCTTCTTTACCTTTTTAGGTGTCAATGAGTAATCCTGAGCACTTATCCAGCGGCCTTGTGACGGATGCTGGGTACTCGACCATTTCCAGTACACTCAGCACAATGAGAACAACTTTATCTAATGTCTCAGCAATAAAATTTATGTTTTTAAAATTCCATGAATTACCACTCCAGAAGTATAAGTGATCTTGTGAAAGTTTGTGTGCATGTGTGTGGGGTGGGTGTGCGCTCTGAGCATTAAACGGCACCAACTAATTAAGGCACAACAATTAAAAGGAACAATCTTGGGCTCACAGCTGCAGACAGGCTAGAAAGAATGATGGGAACAATAATGAAGACAGATGTGAATGAAATTCCAGGGAAGCAAGGGATTTAGGTACTTGCCAGAGGCCCTGCCTACCCTTGGGGACCTACCTTGGCGGGACCTGGCTGTGGCTAACTGGAAAGTTTGTGTGGGGTTCGCCCTAAGGTTAACAGTTACCAGCACTAGGAGCCACTTGTTTGTACTTTAACACATGATGAAACTGAAATTAGAAAAGAAGTGAATGAACTTGAATCATTTTTACTTTAGTTCTCTTGAAAGTTACTCAAATTAAAAATAATGCACCTCCTCACTGTCTATTTGAGGTGCAATAAACTGGGGGAGGGAGAGCTGAAAATACTTCATTGATTAGTGATTTTTAATTTGTATAATTTGTTTTTGTTTTTGACAGTTTAGAATTCCATTAAAATCATATTATAAACTGACCGAAGTGAGGTTAGTACCTCAAAAATGCCTGGTTCTTTTGATAAAGATAAAAAGCTTCCAGCACTTGGAGGTAGGTGAGAGCTATGTATGCTCTACTCCCAAACTTACTACCCACCTCAGTCCAGTGTCTTGTCTGCCAATATACAAAAGGAAGCAGACACAAAAACAGAAAAGCTGTCCTTCTCCTGAAGGAATTCCTCTTTTTGATCTGCCACTTAACATGAGAATCATGCAGGTTCGTTTTGAATGTTCACACAACATTCTCGGGGCAGGACAGACAAGCCGTAGAGTCAGGTGGAGAATAATGAACCCTTCAAGTGGGGGGGTCCATGATCCTCACCGCTCTGAGGGTACCAGGATGCTGCGCTCACAGGTTCTCATTCCTCACTCACCCAGGGGTGGTGGGGTTCTTACAATCCATTTTACTAATTGAAAAAGTTCACATCTTTAGAGTCAAGAAAACCCACTCAGACACAATATCTGAAGCATTTAGGCAACCAACTTTGGAGAATGTATTCCTAATGAAGACATTTCCAATGTCACCAAAATGCCAAGAGACTAAATAAGTTAATTGGCACGTGCATACGCAGCACTATATATACATCAGTATTCTTAGAGTACATTACCATGCAGATAATCTGATTGTTTCTACAAAAGGAAACTTTCACTCTTTAATCTCAACTATTTCCTGCTGTTTCACCAGGCGAATTTTCTCTTATCCATTTAAATTATTGAAAGTTACTAAATGAAATTAATGTTGAAGTTTTGCAAATTTGGTTTCATTCATCATTTTTCTCCCTCTGTATTAGACAAAATATCTATTAAACAAAAAAACGGTCTATTAAACCAATTGCTGATCATGTTAAGTTACCGTTTATATTTTTAGGACATCACAGTCAAAACCTAAGATACCTAAGATTTATTTCTAACTTCTCACCAAAATGAACATGTCTTTTTGTGTTAACTACATATGTGCATAAGTACCATACTAGTATTTTGTCCTGTTTTAGACTTTCGCAAAGTCAAATTAGGTCAGTAGTATTAAAATCAGGATTCAAATTGAAATTTTTAGAAGATTTATAGTGTTCACCAAGGCTTTCCCATTGCAAATCATTTTGATAATAATGGGAAAACTGCTACTTGTTTTACTTTACCCCAACATGATCAACCCTAACCACCACCTTATCTTCCTGTTTTAGAGATGGGAACACTTGAGCTCAAAAGAGTTAAGTGAACTGACCCAGATTACAAAATGAAAAAGGATACAGGATTCAAAGGTAGGTCTTCCCAGCTCCAAGTCCTAAACTCTTTCCTTTTTCATTTGTAATTGCACCCAAACCCTTGGACGAATTAAACTATCAAACTATGCATCTCAAAATAACAAAATCACACAAACATGCCATATATCCTATTTCATACCTTTAATCCTCTGAAACTTCCTGGGCTAGTTGGAGAAGAACTAGAGGATTTCGTTGATTTGGGAGTTGACAGCTGGCTGCTGGGAGTTCCATTAACTGACCAGGAGCAGAGACAACAAAGGAGACAGAGGTCATTAAAACCCCAAAACAATCAGATTGTGCAAAAACACTAAGCACATGCACGACATAGTTCCAATGAAGCTTTGATTCATTTAAAGCTCAAAGCAGATGGCAAATCAGTGAAAGGCAAAAATAATGTGTCTCCTTGCATTACAAAGTACCAGACAAATAAAGGAGTGAAACTAGAATTGTTTTTCAGTAATAGTTTTCCAACAGTGACATAAACAAATATATAAGACATTATGGTAGAGATGTGAATGAGAATTTGTCCATACAGCCCACCTGGCAACAAGGGCAGAGAAATGAAACGGCTGGTATGTTTGTAGTCCTTTATTATGAAGCTGTAACTTCCAATATCCACTCTCTCGGTATATACCAACCTTCACCCAGAAGTTCTACAGCTCTCCCAAATCAATTTCACCATAATCCAAACATATTTTCTAAGTATATTCTTAATGGAAAGGGAAAATTACTGCTCATTTTTCTTGCAACACCTGCTTATCTGTTTGAAGGCCATAAAGACACTCAACTTTCTTTTAATCTAGTCCTTTTTATTTCCTTCTATTTTCTTGTCTTCACAGTTTAATTTCTCCCATTTTTTTAGCAAATCTTGATTTTTTAAGATAGAATCCCTTCCAAACTTCTACACACTTCCTAGGTTGAAGGCTCAATTCAGAGCATAGCTAGGAAAAGTATGACCACTGTTGTATAGAAGGGAAGGTAAATTTGCGGGTTTTATTTGAGAGAATGCTGGTCAAACACATCAGCTGACTCATGCTTATTCCTAATTGGATCATCTGGATCTGTTTCTGCTGTAATTTCACAAACTTGTTAATTAACACTTAGGACTTATAGTTGTTTTGCTAAGACGTATTTGCAATCCCTTTTATCACTAATCTTCGATGCTTTACCCAAAGATGAAAACTGTCACTCTTATCTATGGAAAGAAAAGCAAAGTCCATCTTTTTCTTTTCTTTTTAAATATGAGGAAGTAGACAACTATTATTTTAAATGAAGCTAATCAATATAAAAAGCAAAATGCAGAGGTAAAAGTCCCAAATGGGTGACTCAAAAATGTGAGCACCAGTCCTTGAGTGGAGGCAAAAGTCCTCAATCAATAAGTATTTGTGATTAGATGAATCATCTATAAACCAGGATATTTGGGACTATAAAGTCATGCTTATTTATTGCATTACTCATTTTAAATTGGGTAAGGATGAAAACATTTTCTAGTCACTCTTAACTTACCAAACTTTAATTTTTCTAATTTAAAACCACTCATGCATGAACAATGATCAGTTACCTATAATTTCTCAACAAATGTATGTGCATATTTAGAGCACGAGTACAATGCAAGGAACTGTGCAATTAGAAACGGTTTAGAATATTCAACAGTCCTGATTATTTCTCAATTAAGTTACATTTCAATGTTGTTTCTTTTAAAAATTCTCTTTTTTTTTTAATTTTTATTTTATGATAGTCACACAGAGAGAGAGAGAGAGGCTGAGACACAGGCAGAGGGAGAAGCAGGCTCCATGCACCGGGAGCCCGACGTGGGATTCGATCCCGGGTCTCCAGGATCACGCCCTGGGCCAAAGGCAGGCGCCAAACCGCTGCGCCACCCAGGGATCCCTAAAAATTCTCTTTAGATAAAGGGAATTGGTGGCAGGAATTCACATAAAACAGAAGTTATTATGGGCAATGAACTAGTCAAACTGCTGTGAGCTGAGGCTGAATTTTTTCCCTTTTTTTGGCTTATTCCATACAGAAACCTGTATAGGTCACCAGTCTCTGTAAGTGTTGTTGGCGTTCACAGATATTCAGACACTACACTGATATCACAGGCTACCTTGGAATAGTGACAGGAGAAAAATCAATTCTTGCAAATGGTGATCCTGACAGAAGACACAACTCCCTGAAAACACGCCCCCTCCTAAACATAGTTTCTTCACAAAACTCACTGCTAGGGATTTTACTGCTGTCAGCAACGACATGTCCATATTTTCCTCCAAATAATCTCCGCCTATGGGATCCCTGGGTGGCACAGCGGTTTGGCGCCTGCCTTTGACCCAGGGCGCGATCCTGGAGACCCGGGATCGAATCCCACGTCAGGCTCCCGGTGCATGGAGCCTGCTTCTCCCTCTGCCTGTGTCTCTGCCTCTCTCTCTCTCTCTGTATGACTATCGTAAATAAATAAAAAAAAAAATTAAAAAAAAAATAAAAAAAAAAAAAGAAAAATCTTAATAATCTCCGCCTAAAGGGATACAAAGTCACATTTGGGCTTCTAAGTTCCCCAGAGCATTTGGAAAATTGTAAAAAAAAAAAAAAAAAAAAAAAAAGTTCCTTAATGAGTAGTCCTTCATTTCATTTATTTGCATATTTCTCCAGAGTCATAGGCAGGGTAAGTGGGACCAAGGACCTCTCACACTGAGTCAGCTCCTCTCAGACTGCTGCCACCAACTGGTAGGTGTGCAATAACCAGCCAGCACCTTTGTCATGCTACTACTATTCCTTCACCACCCCCTGATTTTCTCTCCCCAAATAAGGCTATTCTCCATTCCTCCCCTCAACTGTAATGTAAGAAATAAACTTGGGGCTTGTTTGCTTGTTTATTCTGAATATTTTCTATCTTGGCAGACTCTGAAAGATTCACAAGCTAGAAACCTAAAGGGAGAATTTTTAGGACTCAAATTATGGTAACATTTACCTGCTCATGTCATCCAGCTGAATTTCTATGTGTTTATTACACACTATTTAGCCCTTTGGATAGAGTTTTGTTGAGGAATTCAGTTAACCAGAAGGCCATTTATGGGCGCATTTCTTTCCCAAGACTGAAAAAGTATAATGTTACATCTACACAGTTACTAGCTCTGTTTGAAATTCCACTTTGTCCCACAGAAAGTTCTAAATGTTAACAGGTATGCCACAGCTAGAGGTCTGTAAAAGAGCATTGTACTTGTGGGTACAAGTGGCTTTTAATAATACATATTTCTCAGTTTTCTGTAACTGCATGATGTGGTGAACATACTTTTGAGTTTAATCTCTCATAAAGAAGCTGTTTGCCCCCTGAAACATGATTTAAACATCTCAGAACTTTTACTTACAAGTTTAAGATCTACTCTACTATCTCAAATGCAAATATGCTACCGAAATATTAAGATTTCTTGAATCAATTTTTAAGCATTCAAAAATTCAATTTAAAAAGATTTGAATAAATATATATACAAACATAATGGTGTGCAAGACAAATGTGGCTATGAAACATACTTTTAGTTTAGTATATATTAGATTCATTATAATATCTCATTTTTTAATCACTCCTCACTTCCATTTATTTTACTGATATGATAAACACATGTAAACCTATGGCTAAAATGAAAGTTAAGAACCTGACAAAAATCTACATTTACTATTGGATAAGCTCAGGTAATTGTATTTATGCAAATTTCATGTTATATTAGCTTTCCTAGTGTTTGAGATACTTTATAGAAAGCATGATTTGAAATAAGCTTCACAGCACAGAGATGATTTCAGTTAAAAAATATTCATACTGTCAATATTTTTAGAAAGAGTGTTGGGCCTATTAGCTGTAGGGTGGGGAAGAAGGTAAAAACAGAAGGGGAGGAAGGTTAGAACAGAAAAGTTTAATTCTATGGCTATTTTCAGATCACCAATGAACTTTAGCCTTTGTCAATAACAGAATATTTTCCAAAATTAACTCCAAGATAGACCCGTTGAGGTGGTATGCCTCCTTGATCACTTCGTACAGAGAGGGAATCGGCAATCTTCTGACAGTGACTGGTTCTCTGATAAAGAAAGGAGGCTGAGGCATCCTGTGCACCACGGAGCCCTCCACAGCGCACAGATGTACCCCGGTACAAGCCAGATACGTTCATGGAAATGGAGCAAAAGGAAACAGAAATGTGGCAAAAGACAAAAACAAAAACCCAGCAGAGCGACAAAGCCTTCCTAATCGTGGCTCACCTGGGGATCTGGTTGCAGAGTAGGCACTGGAGTGGTGGCCACCCCTCTTTACTGTGCACATTCAGTGAATACAAAGAGGAGACAGTAAGGAGAGCAGTTATTCAGCAGGTCGGAATACGTATACAAAAAAAGGGTAAACAATTCGACCTAAGGAAAGTGGGGTAAGGGATGAGTGCTGAAGGGGAAGCAGTGAAAAGTACAATGTCCAAAAAACTCAGCCTTTTATAGGGTCTGATGCTTGAAACAGTTTTTATTGATACTACTTTTACATGTTCTAGATTTCCTACATGTAAAATCGTGGTTTTTCACAATCCTTTCCTCAGTAGGAAGGGGTATCAGCAAAATTACTTATAATTACTATAAACGAACCTTATAGAAATAACACATCAAGATATTTATAGATGTTTTTAGCTTTTCAAAAGGTGTCCCCCAAACAGTCAAAGTGATGACAAATCTGCAGGGCTAGAACCTGAAAAAAACTTAATTACAGGTAAGTCAGACCTTAAATAAGCACTAATTTCCGATAATCACTACAACTATTAAATTGCTTAAAGAAGGAAAAGCCTGTGAAACTTATCAAGTAAATCCATTCTGTGTCACCTGTGTATATGTATGTTTTAAACCTGTAAGAGAAGAACATCCACTATCAAATAGCACAAAGTTAAAAATACAGTACGTGTGGTCCAAGTATGAAACACTTCTACCTATGTACCAGAAAATTCTAGGTGTAGACTGTTCTTGAGAAAATGTGTCAGAATAAAACAAGTGTCTCAGCAGATTTATAACAACTTTGAGAAACAGGCTTAAATGTTTTATTTTAAAAATCATGTCATTTACATGTTTTAGAACCTGGCTGCATATATAAACATGGGAAAGGCTACTAGTTATAATAATTAAAGAAACTGAAGGAGAACGACTAACTACCTGAAGCTGGTGATTTGCTGCGTCGGGAGGGCCCAGGGCTTTTAGATCCAGAATACTTAACAGCTGAGGACCGAGAATAAGATGACTTCAAGACACGACATTCTAGAAAGGAAGGAAAGGCTATTAATTAAATCTAGTTTAAATACTAATCAAGGGAAGATTAAATGTGAATCTAGTTTACTGCCTAGAACGATTACCTGATCACCTTCTGTTATTGTTAAACAACTTTAATATACAAAGCAACTGTCCCAAAAGTACACCTGAGGTTATCCTTCTTAGTCGTTAGACTAGGCATCTTGCAGACCATCTTATTGTTCTAGTGAAGTTCCTATGGAAATCCCCATGTCCTAACTTGATCACACACACATAGAGCCTAATCTAAACATAGGCAACTTCCTTTTTAGTCAGTATTGATAGCAAAAGGCTACAATTTTTTTCTCTCCAAACTGTCTGATAATCTTATTATCAGGTATGGGACTCTTTACTGTCTTATTTTCCACTTTCCCTAAGTATGGAACATCAAAAATGAGGAAGCTAGCTTTAAACAATAACTTCGGTTTTTCCATAAATCACTGAATAGAACAGCATTTAGAGCACTCAAACTAATTGCAGCTAAAATAATCACTGCTAATTTGAATAATTAAGAACGTGGGTTTTGGAATCATGAAGATTTTGAACGAATCATGGATTTGATTTTGTTAACTGTTAACTGGGGGGCCTCAGGTTCTAAGCCTCAGTTATCTTCTCTATGAAATTGGGTTGAGAATAAAACCTGTTTCGTAGGCTTGTTATAAGGATTAAATTTGATAACATATTGTCTGTCATTTACGTTAAAATACTTCAATTTATGCAGTAAAATTACAATGTGGATTGGTTTTAATCTATTCCTCAGGGGAATAAATTAACGTGTGAAGTTCACTAATCAGGACAATACACACCAGGGGGGCTAGTTAGCATTTGAAAGACCCTAATCAAAATCTTACACGGAAGGGGCTGTAGCAACTTCAGTTTTAGTTAATTAGCATTGTGGATGTTAAACAGGAGAGAGAGAAAGAAAGAGAGAGAGAGAGAGAGTGTGTGTGTGTGTGTGTGTGTGTATAGAAACAATCGTAAAGGCAGGGCCACTCTTTCATAAGCACAAGTATAAATCTAGAGAACCAACAACTAGAACTTAGTTTTAGGGCCGCTCAGTCAGTCCTGAAGCCAGTTCTTGAAGGAGGATTCTGTTACTTGGCTAAAATGCGTTTAGCATTTTAATGACTCTTTAATGCAAGATGTCAGAATCTTAAAAGGATAGAAAGTTAGGACTTTGTTAAGATTAAAAGACAAGTTAAATAACCGGTTAGAAACACACAACTTTTCCTCTGAATAAATAACAACAGTGGCAGAATTAGGTCTAATTCTATGACCTGCTGGTGGTATGAAAACTTTCCCAACAACAATAACGAGAGCAATAGCACATACAACAGGCATTCTTCTAACAGCTTTATATGTACATTGACTCATTTAATCCTCACAAAATCTTATGATTTTGAAAAGGCCAAATATCCCCAGTTTACAGAAGGTTAATAATTGGCAACTGAGAGGGAAGAGATCAGTAGCCTTCATCCACCTTTCACTCTTGGAGCCCATCAATAGCTAGCAACAAAAACCAGGAATGATAAAACTAGCTTATGTAAGTTTACATCATACACGTAAAACATGGAGTACATATATAGTATGTGCTCAATAAACATTTTGTTTTTGTTAGCCAAATTAACGTTACAACCTAGCAGATAGCATGTTTCAGTGTCTCCACTTTCAAATCTACTAATATTGAGTGACATCAAAGGAATATTATGAAATGAGATTAAGCTAAAATCAAGAGAGATGTCAAATACAGATGATAATGTAAATGTACATTTCAGTCAACCTCCACCATCCATGAGAACAGGGGAGAGCATCAGCACACATGATACGAAAGGACATTCTCTGCAATCCTTTCCAGTAGTATAACCAGTTTAAAGCAGGGCCAGCCCAAAGAACATAAAATGGTACAGAAACCCTCAATGAAATTTGGCAGCAGTGAAAAAAATGAAACAAAATGAAAAGTACAGATAAACGAGCCCTAAGCACAAAGAAGATAAATCATTCCCAGGATAACTGACATAGTATGACACAGAAGAATTATACAAAGAAGGCTGGTACCACAAAATATCTCATCTTGAATTTTAAGATGTTTCTGGATCACAGTATTCATTTCATGACATGTTTCTCTAGTTCTGGACGGTCAGAATCACTACAACTGGAAAGGGTCTACTGTCAGGCTAATTTTGAAAAGCCAACTTTCCTCATTCATGAAATAAAAGAGTGAGACTGTATCTTTTACATCACTCTCCTATGTGAAATGTTATGTCTGTATATGGATTTTACCACATTTGAGGAGGAAGTTGACTTTACTATCAGCTAAAATAATCACTATTACTACAGTAAGTTTAAATTAATTCAAGACAAAGAGTAAAGCCATTTTCCCAGAATCAGTAACACTTGAAATCACTGCAGTAATTGCTAAAAAGCTGAAAACTCCATACATCGGAAAAAGGGATTTTTCTTATTCCATCAATGAAAAAAGCTTTATTTTTTTTTCCTGCACATATGAACAAGGCATGTTGGTTTCTTTTTTAAAGCTGCTAACAATGAGGTAAAAAGAAATCTAAGGCAAATGCTATTAACAATTTAGTTATTATCCTTTTATCTATCTCATTATGCACACAGAAAATGTATAACTAACCATTTCAGATTCAATAAAACCCATATATTTAAGGTGGCACAGCCAGCCACTGTTCTGAAACAGGGCAGGAAATGCACTTCAGAGGCAACACAATGCAGTAAAAACATAACTTGTTTTAGTCTAAAAATGAAAGCTATTTGAATTAGGTTGTTTTTAACAGCTAGGCCAATGTTTTCATTTTATTTTCTGCCTTCATTAGTCAAAAAGAGTACCACCAATGTCATCCTTTCTTCAACGGGCCAGACCACTTAACATTGCCAACTAAGCCCCAAGCCTCTGCTTCAAGGGTATGATCAAGATGGTCAAAAAACTGCCTTACCACTGTGATCCAGGACAAAGTCATCTTGGGCATAACGAAATTTTTCAGGTCCACAAGCAATAAAAACATCATCATCACCAAAAAAGTCTTGCAGACAAGTAACCTAAAGAGAAAAAAAAAAATCACATCTAAGAGATAAATTAAACATATTAGAATTAGAAACATTATAAGTGAAATAAAAAGTCAACAAAATTCACTATATTTGCAAGCCTCACCTATAATACTGTATTGGAATGAAAAGCAATTTAACATCACACTACATTTCCAAGCCCTCTACTCTTCACAAAGGACTTCCACACACTTTTCCCTGACCTGAGAACAACAGAATAAGGAGTTCATAGCTGGCATCAATATTTCTGTTCCTAAACAGAGTTGAGGACATATACCCAAGGTAGAGTGATGTTTTCCATGATCCCCAATTAATGGGTGGCAGGGCTGAGGCTGATGGAGGTCCCTGCTCTCAGTCTAATTTCTTCATTTCTACCCTTCCTCACTCTCCCCCTTCCCAGCTGGGCCACCCTGGACATGACTTCTCTGTACCTCTGGTACAGTGTGCCTTAGGTTGCTTTGGGGGATAATATATGAAAACTGCTTGAAATAGTGCTGGGCATCTAAGGGCTCAATGTATCAACACTCATCTCCATCAACCTTATCGTTAAGATCAGAGGAAGTTTCGGGGCCCTTCCAAAGACCTGTACCTAAATGTATAGTCTCAATCTTATATTCCTTTTTCAGCCCTTCCCCCCAATCTACCAACACACACACTGTATCAGTTTCAGATTCCACAGAAACTGGACCCACTGCAGCAATCACATTCATCCACTCATCCCAGTGATTATGAGAACTATCCTCCTAGATTTTGTACACTTTTCCCCATTTTTCAATTGGCTATATGATTTCCTCTTTTTTTAAAATACTCTTTTCCTAATAATAATTATAAAGTTTTAAGAAATCACTCCTCTAGTACTTAGAAGGATTTGAGCAAGGAAATATTGGTATTTTGACTAGGGAATAAATGCCAAACAATTAAGTTGATTATATGGAATAAAAGTATTTAACACATATAAGGACTATAATAGATTTTTTTTGTTTTTTTTTTTTCCTGCAGTTCAATTTAGATCTTCCTAATCAATCTTCTAATGATTCCACCTGTCAATAGAAGTTTGGCTTTCCAAACATCGTATCCATAAGATGTTTTCCATCCTTTGATTCAGATTCTAGCACATAAACATATATTTGGATAAATAGTTAACCAAATTATATAACTATCAAATAGGTTCAGATTTGCCCCAAACACTCTCAAGGAATGGTAGGTATAAAATGAACGAGTGACACAACTGATTTAAACAAACATGGTATTTTGACTCAGGACCCTGACATACTTCACAAAATAGTAAACAACTCTTGTCTCCACTTATTCAACAAATTTGTACTGAGCATTTATTATGTGCCAGGCACCATTCTAGGTGCTATAGAAATATTAGCAAAGAAATTTTAAGAAAGAAACAAAAACCCCTACCTTTATGGAGCAAGTGTGAAAAGCAGCACAATAAAAATGTGTAAGTAAATATAAAAAGGTGGTAAGTGCTATGGAGAAAGATAAAGCAAAGACGAGAATAGTGAATGTGTAGAATGGGTGCTCAGAGGACGCCTCATGCAAAGGTGACATTTGAACAAAACCTTAATAGAGATCAAGGAACAAGCATGTGGGGAAAGTGTTCTAGGCAGAAAGCACAGAATGTGGGAAAACCCTGTGAAGAGATCAGGCTGGGCATGTTCTTGAAAAAGCAGTCCTGGAATACAGTAAAAGAGGGGGAGGAATGGATGATACACGGAAGGGGAGGTAGAGCAGATGACATAGGGCCCTGTCAGCCATTGGTAAGGATGTGGGCTTTACTCTGAGATGGAAAACCAGTAGAGGCTTCAGAGCAGAAGACCATCACAGTGTGACTTCCCTTTTAACAGGATCACATATGCTCAGATTAGACTGGAAAGGGACAAGGATGGAAAGCATCGTTAAAGGCTATTGCTAATCGGGCAAGAGGTTAGAGTGGTTTGTGCAAAGGTGTTGGGAGTAGAAGTAGTGAGAGGGGGCTACACTACTCCTTTGGATATGGGAATATGAAAGGAGAGACAAGACTATGATGGCTCAGGGGTTTGGGTTTGAGCCACTAAGGGGATGATGTCATTAACTCTGACAGGAGAAAATATAAGATAATGGACAAGTTTAGTGGTAGAAAGGGGCTCATAAGTTCAGATTTGGAAGATTAACTGTGAAATGCCTATTAAACCCCCAGGTGGAGGTGCTGGATGGAAAGTTGGACACAGACAAATCTGAATGTCACAGGAGAGATCTGGGCAAGAGACGTAAATTCGGGACTCCCCAGCATATGGATGATATTTAAAATCTTGAGATGAATTACGGCAATGAATGCACATAAGGAAAAGATCTAAAGCCTGAATTCTGAAGCACAGTAACATTACAAAGTCAAGCTGAAAAAGAAAAACCAGCAAAGAAGATTGAGGAGCAGCCAGTACAGAAGGAAGAAACACAAAAGTTTGTAGCACACTGGAAACCAAGCTAAGAAATGGTTTCAAGGAGGAGGGAGGAGAGAGCAATCACCTGGGTCAGTGTTACCAACAGGGTAAGTAAGATTAATATTGAGGAGTAACCATTGAATCAACAACACAGAGATTAGTGGGATCTTAAAGATGAAAATAGTTTTAATGGAGGGGTTGAAGAGAATGTCTAATCAGAGAGCTTTAATAGAGGATAGCAGAAGAACTGGAGACATGAGTATAGACAACTCTTTCAAGGAGCTTTGACTGAAAAGGTAGAGCATAGGACTGGGAAAATGGCAGGAGGAGGAAATGGAGGGACACCTGCGTGGCTCAGAGGTTGAGCATCTGCCTTTGGTTCAGGTTGTGATCCCAGGGTCTTGGGATCGAGTCCCGCATCAGGTTCCCGGCAGGGAGCCCGCATCTCTCTCTGCCTGAGTCTCTGCCTCTCTCCGTGTGTCTCTCATGAATAAATAATGTTTTTTTTTTAAAGGAAGAAATGGAGTCCGTGGTGAGCTAAACCTATTTTTTAAAGATGAGAGGACAAAACACATTACTATGCTATTGAAATGATCGAGTAGGGAAAAAACGGTGATGCAAGGAAGATAGGGGAGACCTGCTGGAGCTGTGTCCCTCTGTAAGAGAGAGGAGATAGGAACAGAGGGCAGGAGGAGGGACTGACCTCATGTGAGACTATGGTCAGTCTCCCCCAGTAAGGGAATCTCGGTAGAAGCTGCTAGATGGGAACACATAGTGGTGGGGCTGGTGGACGTTTTCTGATTACTTCTTACTTCACTGAGAAAATGGAAACAAAGTCATCAACTGAGAGTGAGGCTGGGAGAGGAGGTATAGCAGGTTAAAGGAGGAAGAAAAGATAAAAAATTGCAATCTGGGATTGTGGGGAGTTACTCATTACTAGTTTAATGAATACCTGTTGCCTCCACTCCAAAAGGAAAGGAACAGGTCTGTCTTGGTCATTGCTGTGTCCCCAGCAAAGGGACTTATTTATAGACACCGTACAGTGTAGCGTCTCTAACCAAAAGGGGAGCCCCACCTTCCAATCTGGGTCCTGGCCCTAAACCCTCTGCTGCACCTCCCCAACACACCCCAGGAATCTAGTGCACTGTCCTGAGGAAGAAACAATGATGTCCCCATAAGCAGCATTAAGGGTCCACTCGGGATCCCACAGTCTGCATGACAAAAATTCTTGGTTCTAAAATGAAGTTAGTCAGTCCATATATTGTTTTAGAAAAAAAAAACCTTTGAAGCTAGCATTGTTACTGTGTCATGGGGTTGCATCTAACTAGGCAAGAGAAGAAAATCTATATGAACATAGATAATACAAAAAACTAGGCTGTATCGATAATGAGTAAATAAGGAATGGATGGGAATATTCTCTCCCTCTACTGTTGCTGACTTAAAATACAAGTCTGTTCACATTTTCCATAATATAGTCATGGACTGTTTGGACTGTCACTACTATGTTCCACTAAACTGTAAACTTAAAATGCACTAGAAACACCAGCAGACAAGGAAATTGATGAATATGATTAAATGTAAACCGAAATAATATCTGCAGAAGGAGGATGAGGTTTCAGTTCTGTTTTCACTTTCATTGTAGAGGAAACTCCATTTATAATGTCATCTAAAATACAGATGTCAAGGGCATCTGGCTGGCTCAGTTGGTAGAGCAAGAGGCTCTTGATCTCAGGGTTGTGAGTTTGAGCCCCACATTGGGTATACATATTACCTAAAAATAAAAAATAAAAATAAAATAAAATACAATTGTCAACCCCTGAAGCATTTGCTGAGCTGAGCACTTACGTGTGTCTGGAGCAGAGCACTACGCTGCTGAGCCTGTGCCTCTTTACACGTAGAAAGCCTGGGCAAGATACCAATTTCATTTCATCCTTAAAGACTAAATGTGATCACACGTAAAGGTAGCTGTTATTTCTTCACTAATTCATGGACTCATAGACTTTTTAAATTTAACTTAATGGATCTTTCTATAAGTATAAACAAAATAAGTACATGCTTTCCTACAAGTTCAATGAATTATGTATTTTCCCAGGAAATACCATTGACAACTTGGAAACGTTCCTCTCATAGTCTTGACTTGTAGAAAATTACAGACAAAAGCGTTAAGATATCCTTTTTAAAATTAAGATATCGACTTGATTAAGTCCCAGAAATAACACACAGAAATGTAATTCATGTACATATAAATACACACATGTATACATATACTTGTAAAATACATAAGATTGTGTTTATATACACACATTAAAAAATAGTTTCTACCAACATCATCTTGGAATAATTATAAAAGAGAAAAAAAGAGATTTGACTTAAATGTAATAGATCAGAGCAAAGCACCAGTTTATATCTATATATGTAAGCTTTACACATAAATGTCAACATTTTTAGATAAGGCAGGCAAGAATACCATTCCAATTTTACGCTAAAATTATATTTGTGTACCACTAGGCCTCCAAATATAATATAGTCATTCTTTACCCATGCTTACATTTTACAAGCATATGG